AGAGGTTGTAAACACAAGAGATGTACGAGTTTAGGCCCTTCTCGGAGGAAGTAAAAGCCCTACGTCTCGGAGCCCGGAGGCGGTCGAGTGGATTATGTGTATATGAATTACAGGATGCCGAACCCTCCTACCTGTGGAGGGGGGTGGCTTATATAGAGTGCGCCAGGACCCCAGCCAGCCCACGTAGGAGAGGGTTTAAGGTGAGTTAAGTCCGGGGCGTTACTGGTAACGCCCCATATAAAGTGTCTTTACTATCATAAAGTCTACTTAATTACAGGCTGTTGCAGTGCAGAGTGCCTCTTGACCTTCTTGTGGTCGACTGAGTCTTCGTGGTCGAGTCCTTCAAGTCAGTCGAGTGAGTCCCTCGTTGGTCGACTGGAAGGTGACCTCTTCTGAGGGTGTCCTTGGGTAGGGTACTTAGATCAGGTCTGTGACCCTACCCTAGGTACATGACCCCATCAGGGCCCTCTCGAAGAGGTAAAATCCTACTCCTCCTCTTGTTTATATTGTGTGGATGGAGTACAAAGTACAAGATGATCTACCTCGAGATCGTATGTGAATGTACGATTCTCTACCCCATGGTCTAAAACCCCTCGGCTTATATAGAGACCGAGGGTACCTAGGGTTACATGTAGGTCGGTTACATCTAGGGATAAACATGCCAATGATCGTGTCTTGGGGTATGCGCCAATTCTTCGAAGGATTCCATCTTGAGCATGCCGAGGGGCATGGCAGTCTTGGCCCACTTGGTGATTACTAGGGGGTCCTCGACCCGGCCTACTATTGGAGGTCGACGTGGTTAGCCCCCCCTAGTCTAGGACACTGTCACCTATGCTCCTGCCATGTGCTCGCTCGTGCAGTACTGGCTGGTAGGGATGCCATAGTTTTTTTAAACGGTTTGTATTGCTCGGAAGTTATCAGGTTTGATCACTTTGAGGTATGAAATTAATGATTTGGGTGTTAAAAATAAGAATGTCCCCTTTTAGGGGACAAGCAACATGATGCTAACTAACCATATTCAATTTAGCCTTCCAATTATAACTTCTTAAAACAGTGAGTATCATTCCAAAGTTACCGTGTCCGGTGGCTTGGGTCGCCCGAGATGGGCAGGCATGGATTCCATTGCGCCAGTCAGGTACGTTCGCGTGCCCGACTCGGTGTGCGCATGCTGGGTGGTCCGATGGGGCTATCCGGCTAGGGTCACCAGGGCAGGCCAAGCGGTCATCCAGACAGGGGTTGCGACGACAAGAGCCTGGGCGACCGACATCGCCTTGCCCAGCCCGGTGTGCAATCTTTAAACATTTCACTTAGCTTTTGGTTTGCAATATGTTTCAAATGGTTCAGTTAACTTTTGGCTTGTACTTTTAGAAACTTTGCCTAAATTCCAGGCTACAGTTGATCTTTGGGCCATTAGCGCAATGGGTCATCTATTGTAACCGTTCGTGTGCGTGAGACATATTACGACATGTCTACTACTATAGATAGAAATATGGCAACAGCCTGTAGATGTCGTGGTCTGCCCGGATGGCGTGTTTTGACCTATGTGCCCGACCTTTGGACGCTACGCTTGTCCAGATGGCGTGTTTTGGGATCTCACATTTGTCATGGAAGGTGTGGTCAGGCATTCTATCGATTGAGTCATTGGGAATGAAGCACATGGGAGGTGTGGTCTGCCTTGGCCGGCCAACGAAGCACATGGGAAACGATTGTCATTGTCTAACATTTGTTGGTGTTAATGATAATTAATACTTACATAATGGGATGTGCTTTACATGAGCAAATCAATATCTTATCGTTAAGTACATTCATATTGAGTAGGTACATGTGTGTATAGTTACTGTATAGTTGCATTCCAATGCCATTGTGATCCATGGGTGTAAACTTGGGTAGCATGGTTTTTTCCACGCGGGAATGTGAAACAAAAATCGTCACCCTTTTTCACAGCATGGACAAAAAGTAAGAGGTCCCATTTGATATCGTTTATTAAAGTGTGACCCTTTCGATCTTCTATCTTTGTCTCATATGCTGACCCGTTAGGCGCACAAACGTCAAAGCCTCTTCTAAAGCATCTATTGAGTTGCTAGTAGGCGACACATGGAACTTTCTGTACATGTCAAAGTTATATGTTTAGACATGTTAAGTATTTCTTTCAATGCAGTGCACTGCATAATCTATAGGTGTACCGATCCATACTCATGGTCAGTCGGGACGATAATGTTGAGATGATCAAAATTTGCACCATTGTCATGGCATGGTTAGGATATGTTACGCAGATGTCACAGAGGTTGGTCCTCTGTTGTGAACATGCAAAATTATAAGTATATGAGATGGAAGCTACATTGTGTAAGGAAAATAGAAATGGGGGCAAATGTGTCGATGCCTTTTATTGGGTTCGTCCTCCAGTAAACTGAGTTTGTAAGTAAGCATGCTAATAAGGGTACTATTAAGGGAAATAGTTGGATCGCGACCAGGCAACGTTCGGGTTTTCTTTTAACCCGGCTGGAGCATGAAAGAGGCGCGTACCAGACACCCTATGCAAATCAGCGGCCAACCACTGCACACAGCTTGTTTAACTTATAGTTTTAGTTGGTCTTTGCGTAGTTATAGGGGTCATCATGAATAGAGTCCCATGTCATCAAAAGTAAATCGACAAGGAAAGCTATGTGAATGATCATTGTCAAGGCAAATAGAAACGTAGTATGAGCATAATAATTTGCAGACAGTTGAGGAAAAATCTTTCAAATAGTTCACTTAACTTCAGGCCCGCAGTTGATCTCTGCGCCAATTGGCGGTCTTTGAGACAATGCCTGCGGTTGGTCTCTTTAAACAGTTCACATAACTTCTGTTTTATGTTTTAGTCTCATGTCATAAAAAGTAAGTCGTCAAGGAAAGCTATGGGCAAGGATCATCTATATATGTTACTCATAAGTCGGTTCGCTTCACAAAGAACTAGCAGCATCAAAAGCATCAAGCGTCCATCGGGACTTAAGTTTTACAACCCATTACAATAGGTAGTTGGGCTCACTTCCGCAGTATTCAGACTCTATGATTTGCTCGGACATCAAGGTTCACCTCATGTTGTTCCGAGTAGGAGTACCATGTTCAGATGGTACATGTCGTGTACCGTGGAGGGTGTGGTTGGCCTTTCTATTGACTCAGTTGTTGGGATGACCTAGCCAGCCAAAGAAGAGCATGGGCGATGATTTTCGTTGTCTGTCATTGTTAAATATATATGGTAGATACAAACGCAATACGAACACAACAACTGAGATCATTCACGAGAAACGTCCTTCGAATAACTCACCTAAATTTTTGGTTGGTTGGTCTTTGAGCCGATGCCTGCTGTTGGCTTGTTCAAATGGTTCATTTAACTTCCATTTTATGTTTCAAGTAGTTACCTTAGGTTATAGGCTACGGTTGGTCTCTGTGCAATATGTCTAATCCACAGTATACCCTCGAAGCAAATGTTCTATGAAATGACAGTACACCCAACATACATGGCACTTTGTTAGCAACCAATTAATGTCAACAAGCCACATACATGTCATAGTTGCAAAACCACCCTACAGACTGAATAGTTTTTCATTTTAAGGTGCACCATACAAGTAATTAGTCAAGTGACCACACCTTAGAGTTCGGCAGGCATATTTCTATTTCAAAGTGGTGTTTGAGGGATTCCAAATACATGTAAATTGGTGAACATGATTAACTTTGTTCTCGTGTGCTCGTCGTGAAACTCAAGAGGTTTTGTGGGCTGCACCTACATAAGCTCCATATGGTTTTCTTTAATAAAACAAAGGTCAAAACTAGGGCGGTAGATATATATGGCAAAAAAGTGTACTTCTGTGACGTTACATGATACATATGACGTTTTGATAATTCGCCCTCTTGTGAGATGTGTGGATCACATCTTTATCTCATCTTGAAGATTGAATATTACAAATGTCATTGTTGGCCATTAGCAACAAATTGTCAAATTTGTTTGCGTCAAATCTCGTGAAGAGGGTGATATGATATCTTCTCCTCCACAATCATCTCAAGTTGAGCCATGGTTCTCCTACCCACCACCTAATACTTATAATCAATCTCCACCCTCCCTAGCCCTACATACCACTACACGCTTCTCGGTACATCTCTTTCTCTACACACATCAACGTTAATCGTCACACGGTTCGAAGGAGAAATACAACTGCTCCCTTCAACTTCGACAACAACATGAAAGCCTTAATCTAGAGAGAGAGATAGAGAGAGGAGGTATGAAACAAGAGCGTAAAATCATCACAAGGTGGCGACGCCTTCCGCACGTGGAGAAGGAGAAGTATGACACTTGGAGTGGATCCGCCGGTGAGACACCATATTCAGTTTATAAAAGGCTCTGTTTCATAGAAGATCATGTGATAATGTGCAGCGAAGTTTTATCACTGCAGATGCAATCAAGCCATGTCATACTTTTCATGGTATTTATGTCACCCCTCTTGCACTAGAATGTGTAATATGCACTATGAAAAAAAGTATAACATACACTGACGAAGCTACGTGCATCCTTACGATAATTTACAGGGAGTTTTAGATCCGAAAAGGTAGAGCTTTTCTCTCTCCAAGAAATTGCATTTTCTCTTTGGCCCTCAAAGTTTTACTAATAACTTTATCAAAGTTTTAACAAAGAAATTATAACTCACGTGTGTCACCGTGGCAACGAAAGGGTGGGAGAGAGAGTCAGAGAGGGGGAGAGATGGACGGGCGAAGCCAGGAAAGAGTCCAAGCTTTATAACTGTAAAACTCTCCCAAATAGCCAAGGGAAGGAAAGGATAGATAGAAGAGAAGAGGTCAGTGACCACCACCCTTCCCTCCCCTCCCCTCACTCCCGTGCCCCCGCCTCTGCCTGCCTGGGTTACCCTACCACCCCTCCTCCCACCCATAGCCGAGGCCAGAGGAGAGAGAGAAGCCAGGGCTTGGCTGGTAGATGCGCGAGTAGAGGTGTCTGCCAAAGGCCAAGGGGAATGGGAGGCGACGGCAGGCCCAGCGACGGCGGCGGCGGCGGCGGCGCCGGCGCCGGCGCCGGCCACCCGCACCAGTTCCAGTACCAAGCCCTCCTCGCCGCCGTGCACACGCAGAACCCCAACCACAGCCACAACCTCCCCTTTCCCCTTCCTCCCCTCAATGGTCAGTCCTCCCTTCTTCTTTCTTTAATCGCGCATTCGCGTTTTTACCTGCCGAAACCGCCAATGCGCGCCCGCTTTGCTGGATTTAGGGTACGGTAATCCCTTCCAAATTCGGCTCCTTTTTGTCGATCTACCATGTGCCTAGCCCCAGAATCTATCTGTAGCCGCTCGAGGTCATATTCTTTATTCTACATTCCTGCTGCGGTCTGATTCAACGGCACTTGCTTGATTTTGCAACTCGCGTAGACCGATTTAGGTTTTATTGTTTGTTTATTTATTATTTATTATTGGAGACAAGAGACCAAGATACCTACTGATGACCGTGCCATGGTGATGTCAACTGTCATTGTACTGTCGTTGTATATTTGTATATGTAAATATAATACCACATGTCTAATGTCTTGCTGCCTAATCTACTACTAGTACATTATGGCTCACTCTGTCATTTGCTTTTCTTATCGCTGATCGGTGGCCTTACAAGAAACTACAATGTACATCTCACCTGCAGGACCTGGACCTGATGCATCTACACACAATGCTGTTCGCCAGCCTCCGACGCCAAGGGGGTTTGCTGATTGGAGTGCGTCTACCAGTGCCTTCACGTCCCTTGCTGTGCAGAGCACTCCTTCCACAGCTACTGCCAATGCATACCATTACAGCCTATCTCCTTGCTATGCTTTCTGGACCCATTACATGCTTAACAAGAATGCATATAGCTACTATCCTGCACCTAATCAGGAGCACACCCACCCTTTCAGCCTTGATAACAACCAGGCTAAAGATCCAGGTACATTTTAATTTTACTCACCTCAACTCCTACTCTGTGCCCCATTTCTTTTATTAATGAACAACAATGCATGGTACCCGCTATGCTTTTTAGGTAAAGAGAAACAGAAATGGAATGGTTTCTCCTCCCAAAAAGCTGAAAGCATTTTGGATTTTCTATCATCACCTAGAGAGTTGAGAGTCTTAAACAATAAGTAGAGCTTCTTCCTACTAGAAATTCAATTGAGCTTATTTCATGTGGTGTCATTTATGTACCTATGACCTTCAAGCAAGTTAGTTTTTGAGGTATTTATATCTTTCCGTACTCGGTGCATATTATGTGGTTGGGTTGTTTTGGTAATTGGTAGTCGGCCTGGCCTGACATCTCTTGTTCTTGCATTGAACTGAGGCATCAACTAGTAATAACCAGGATTTCTCATTCTTGTAAATGTGGGGCTACTAATGATGGGTTTCTAGGCAAGATCGCCTTAATTTGTTTTTGTATACCCTATCTAAAATGCAGGTTCTATACCCAGCTTCGGGATCGAGTCATTTAATACAACATCCCTGGCACCAAACATGTCTGCTCATATGCCTCCCATGGAAGGACCCCTACCTACAAAGGAACCTGAGGCTCCAGAGGTATATATGTGAACCCTTTAAGCTTTAGAGAATCTTTCAAGATTGTATGCCCCTGCCTAATGTATATTACTGTAAAATGGCTACTACACAGGACATGCCTGCTAGAGTAGCTACAATTAAGGACGAAATGGATGCCAGAAATGGTGTTGAACTTAAATGTGAAACAGTTGACGCTCTTCCAGAGTTGAAGCAAGGTCATGAAAGTTGTGCCAGTGTAAGTAACACACCATACGTAACATGTTCTCTTAGTCAGATTTACCGTACATATTTCTTTCCTGCATTGACCGAAGCTAATAGCGAAATGGCAAATGGTGGATTGTAAAATCGTACGATAGTTAAAATGCACAATCAGGATTCTGATACATTAAATGGACATATACTTCTTTCATAATAAACACATTATTTCCTTTTCTGCGTGCATGGGGGCATTCAGAAATTCAACTCTGGAGAATACCAAGTTATTTTGCGCAAGGAATTGACAAAGAGTGATGTTGCGAATGTAGGAAGAATTGTGTTACCCAAGGTATATGCTATCATGATGCTCTGTGAAAAAACTAATGCAGTCTGAATTATTGTTTGTAACATAATCATCAACTGTTTTTCAGAAGGATGCAGAAGCTAGTCTTCCACCATTGTGCGAAAGGGATCCTGTGATACTGCAGATGGATGACATGGTGCTTCCGATTACGTGGAAATTTAAGTACAGGTACCCTTTCAGTCGTACACTCATATTATGGCATCTTTCACAGGAAAATTCAACATGGAAGTGGTTACAATTTTGAACAAAAAAACCCTGATAAATTATGTTTGCTAAACCTGAATATGGTGACTTAATTATAGAAAACAAAATCTTGGGGAAGAACTGGGGTGTTGGTTAATGATAGTTAGTCATGGCATGGAGAAACCAATACATTTGTAGGTTGACTAAATGCTGACCCTTGCAATTGTATTATCATACTGATGCAATGCTATTTCAGGTTCTGGCCAAACAACAAAAGCAGAATGTACATCCTGGATTCTACAAGTATATGCTTCAACATGGAAGTGATTTCAATTTTAAATATTTTCCAAGTATGAGCACGTGATTAATTGAGCCATCCTGCCCTTTTGTCAGGTGAATTTGTGAAGACACATGGTCTTCAGGCAGGGGACGCACTCATTATCTACAAAAATCCTGTGCCTGGCAAATATGTATGTAAACTTTCCTTGTCCTAATTGTTCCGTTCACACGTACCAACCTGACATTCTATTTGTAAGATCAGCATTTATAACTCCCTGTAGATCTTAATTAGTTGCTGGTTTTTGGCAGAATTCGCTGAAAAACAATTTAAACAAACCTGCCAAATTTATGCTCCTCCTCTTACCTATATGCTGTATGCAGATTGTCCGAGGGGAGAAGGCCATTCAGCAGACAAATTAGAGCATGTGGATGTGATTGCGACCGTGTCAGTGAGGACATTTCAAGGGAGGAATGTGGGTTCGCAATCCAAGGGAACTCGACAGAGTTGAGCTGGCTGGGGAATTCATGACAGTCTGACTTGTTAACTGGGGAGTGAACGGAAAAAGATTGGACGTGCGTGCTGTCAAAGAGCTTGCTTCTACAGTGCGACATCCAAGTTGAGGAGACCCTTTTGCCTATTTTTTTGTTCTTCTTTCTTTCTTTCTAATTGAGTTGCATTTGGAAACTTTGAGTTCTACCTTCTCCTTCAGAATAGCATTTGCGGTTCTGTAAATATTCTCGGATCCATAAGATAAATGAAGTGGCGTGGACTTTGGACGTGCTATGATGTTTCTCTGTCACAGAAGAATCAGATGAGAGTGCTGTGGCGTTGTCTTGTTAAGATATGAAAAAGGTCGAAGGCGGCAAGCTCAGGGCTGAGAAAACGTCTTTTTTGTACGAAAGAAGACGCAGAGAGCAGTGGTTCATAGATCATAGATGGTGACACATGTTTTCTTTAGCCGATGGTGACACATGTTTTTTTTAGCCGATGGTGACACATGTTTTGAATGATAAACGACGTAAAATGCTCTGCCATTGGTCCGTCAAACCTTTAATGCTAGTTAAGGCACCGTCGAAATTAACCTAATGGTAGATGTGCATTCAGGTCGCCGACGGTGGCGCTCCGGATCAACCAGCTTGCTTCGCTGCCTAAACCCACCCATTTCTACGAGTAGTTTTTGTTATCGACTCTGTTTCTGTTAGATGAAATGACGTACTACTAATGTATGTACTATACTACATAGTCATATTACTGAATGATTTTTTGCAACTGCAGTATATATGACAGTGATGTACTACACGATTGATAATAGAATGTGCACGTCCTGTGCATATATATGAAATATTATCTATCACAAAACATACAGATAATCTAGAAAATGGTCATAAAAGTGGTAATGTATTGGGAAAACGTGGGGAAATGGGCTGAAAAATTGGTACAAAAACAACTTACAAGTTAATTTCATATGGTGTACTAAACTATAATGGAATAATTGTTTTTGGATTAAAAGACATAAAAGACATGAGTCTCATCATCCGTAGCATGTTGTTGTGATGTCAAGCATTGATATAATGTACATTTGGAAAACTACACAACACCACTAGATTACACCATTATTTTGATCCGTAGACCCCAAAGTGACAATAATTGGGATACTCTCTGGGGATGACTATAATTCGAAGAGTTCATGTATTCATCATGTGTTAATGCTTTGATCCGGTTCTCTATTAAAAGGAGGAGTTAATATCCCTTAGATTTCCTTATGGACCCCGCTGCCACAGGAGCAGGAGGGTAGGACAAAAGATGTCATGCAAGTTCTTATTGTAAGCACGTATGACTATATATGTAATATATGCTTACATCGAATTGATGAATTGTAGTTATTGTGTATCTAGGTTGTGACTGTTACATGATGAATGTCATCCATACAAATATCCATCACTGATCCAATGCCTATGGTTTGCTCATATTGTCTTTGCTAAGTTACTACTGTTGTAGTTGCTGCCACAATCACTACAAAATTGCTACTGTTACCGTTGCTGTTACTACTACTATCAAACTATCATACTATTGTTATACTAAATACTTTGCTGCAAAGAATTAACTTTCCAAGTGTGGTTGAATTGACAACTCAACTGCTAAGACTCATAAATATTTTTTGGCTTTCCTTGTGTCGAATCAATAAATTTGGATGAAATACTACCCTCGAGGACTGTCGCAATCCCCTATACTTGTGGGTCATCAGATGGAAAGACATAATTCACATATATGATGTCTAAACTAAGTAGATGGTATTCACATAGATGATATCTATACTAGGTAGAGGACATAGAAATATTGTGTATATGATGTCTAAACTAAGCAGTGCAAGACACCATATGCATGCTATGACAAGTATCAGCCTGCAAAGTTAGTGAAAACACCATGGGAAAATATGAATGGCCATCTCACTCTGAATCCTAATGTGAGGAGCTACATCAACTTAGGTTGCTGATAAGTCCATTTTGCATCATGTTTTTATGTTGATATTTATTGCATTATAGACTGTTATTTCACTTTATAATACAATTCTTATGCCCTTTCTCTCTTATTTTGCAAGTTTCACATGAAGAGGAAGATCGCCAACAACTGGAATTCTGGATCGGAAAGGGCTATATTGGAGGCACTTTTTCTGGACAACTCCAAATGAGCTGAAAATTGACAGAGAATTATTTTGGAATATATAAATTATTGGCGAAGGAAATACCAGAGGGGGACCCACTAGGCAACCACAAGCCTGGGGGTGTGCCCCCCGAGCTTGTGGCGCCCCTGGCGGGCCTCCGGGGCCCATCTTCTCCTATATGGTGCCATTTGACCTAAAAAATTAGAAGGACGGTTTCGGGACGAAGCGCCACCATCTCGAGGCGGAACCTGGGCAGGAGCACTTTTGGTCTCCGGTGGAGAGATTCCACCAGGGAAACTTCCCTCTGGGATGGGGAAATCGAAGCCATCATCATCACCAGCGATCCTCTCATCGTGGGAGGACCAATATTCATCAACATTGTAACATCCCAAATTTTCAGATTTGGTGTGTTAATAGGATCATTACTTTTCATCATGATTTCTATGCATAATTGAATTTTCTGTTTATTCGAAGTGTTTTCCAACTCAAGGCAAAATATTTGGAGTGGAGATAATATGACTTCTCCCCTATTAATTATATTTGGAAAATGCTAAGAATATATTCTGGAGTTTACAGAAAGTATTTTGGAGTTGTTGAAACTCAAAATAATTTTGTAGTTGTCATTATAATGCTCTTTATATGCTTGTATTGCATAATTGTTGTTTTCTTTCAAAAGTGCATTCGTGTTTAAAAAACTGTTCACTGTTTTATATATTAGTAATAATATTTTACCGTGTGATTTTATGATTTTATTAGTTTTTTTATTTTATTTAACCATTTTAGTTCTTGTAGCAGAGTTAAAAAAAAATAAACCGCGTGCACTGTGCCGTCGGGCAGCACAACTGCGGCCCAACTTTTCCTTGCCTACGCGCGCGCTAAGCGGCAGCAGGCCAACCCATTCTTTCCCCGCACAGCCGCAACCCACTCCACAACCTTTTTGTTTTTTTCCTCTTTCACCTCTCTGCCACTGACTGCCCTGGCCCGCATGTCATCTTGCCTGCATCGCCGTGTACTTCTCGAGCACTGTTGATCACAGAACCGCAACCGGATCGAATCGATCGATACTTGACCTGTAGGCCACGATATCTGATCTATATAAGAGCCCCAACTCCTCCTTGCTCGAGTTTTGCCAAAATCGCCGCCTCCCGTGCCCGTTTCGCCTCGTTCAGATCTTGTTGGAGCCGCCGCCAGTCAAGTTCATCGCCACCGCGGGCTCCTAGCACCTCCTGCACCTCCTAGTTCATCTATCCGGTTCCCTCTACCTCCATGACCCTATCTTTGGCACAGGGGAGCAGTGTAGAGACGTGCACGACCTCAACAGAAGGTTGCCGCCATCAATCGTCGCTCCAGCCGGTCCTCGCCGGCGGTACAGAAGCCCTGGTCGTCCTGGAGGACGTTTTGGAGTTCTCCGTCTACCTCCTCATCTTGTCCCGTCGTCCCCGATCCCCGGAGCTAACCCCAGCGACGCCACGGTCAAGACCCGAGCCACCCCGCGCCGTTCTTCCTCAACTCCGGCGATGCCCTGTCCTTGTTCCTCTGGTGAGTCATCCCTGCCGTCCAATCTAAGTTGGACCGTCTAGAGGTCATTTTTTTCTATTCAAACTGTTTTCCTTTAAATAGCGAACGGTCGTCGTTTAAGCTTTGCAGCGAATGGTTCTCAGCCGTTAGTAGCCCGCCATGTGGCCACGTCGCAGGAGCCGCGACAGTTCTTCCCAGAACGCTATATGGCATAAATTTTCTTTGCAGATTCCATACCGAATTCTCATTTAGGTATATTTTGAGATCCGTAACTCCAAATTCAGCTATTCTTTTTCTTGTGTACTCATAAAGACCAGGATAATATTGTAGAACCAAAATTTCACATTTTTGAACTGTTTAAATGTGAATTTGCTCAAATTTGAATTCAACCTTCCGAAGGCTATATCTTTTAAATCGTAGATCCAAATTAGTTGATTCTTTTTGCATTTTGATCCTACTAGCATGTAAATGAGATATGCCTACTAATATGTTATGTTATTTAAGTTTTTATTTGAATTCCTTGTTGTCGACTTTATTGTGGGTTATGTGAGTACGATTTATTTATCGGTGCCTTTGTTAATCGTATAGATTGTCCGGAGTGTGAAGCGAATCAGAATTAAGCATTAGAGTACTTCAACACCGTTCAAGGCAAGTTTGCACTTTTGATTTTGCTCATCCTATAATCTAATATGCATGTGTGGTTTTATGTTATGATATATGTTTGGCCTGATATGTGCATCCCGTGTTGTCATGTTTTGGTATTGATTATATTATGTGATGGTGTGATTTGGCTTGCTACAGTAGACATGGGCATGTGTCGAGTGATCCATGAAAGTGGTGAGTGTTTATAGCCGTAGGCTCGGGTTTATTAACCAGGTGAATGAGTCACTAGCATAGCGCTCTATTGTCCCTAGAGAATGTGCCATTGACAGAGCGCACTTGAGGCGAGGTTTAGTTTTCGAAACATAAATCAGGTGAATGCGTCCTTGGCAGAGCGCCCTATTGTTCCTAGAGAATGCGCCACTGACATAGCGCAATTGAGATACTTCTGAAGTTCTTGTCATGATTACACAGAATCTTTTGGGTTATCTTGGGCGAATAAATTAGAGGCGGTTCTGAGTTCAGTTAGTTGAGGTAGGTGAAGACATTCTTCTCCAAACTAACTTGTGTGTTTTGTTTGTCATACATTGCTTTGTGGATGTAGGTTTGCTATATCATATTGTGTGATTTGCCAATACA